AATCAAAGTTGGGCAGTAATATGTCGCGAGAACAACAACTATGTATGTACATTACTTTAACAGCCAAGTTTACCATAAACAAATAGTCAGAAGAGTAGAAATGAAACCTTAAATTTGTCAAGAGATATTTAAATCGTATTCTACATATGGGCAATTCTCCAGAAAGGTGCACCGCGGGCAAAAACTTAAAATTTCTTCAAAACGAGTATTTTTAACATGCTTGCATAAAAAAATCTTCAGATTGATCAAAACTTAGAGAATTTTTCGTTTTCAAAAAGAAATTTCAAAAAAATCGATGTTTTTATCAAAAAAAAGTCATAAAAATTGGCATGTTGTGTTTTGATGCCAATCTCTTAAACAAAATCATTTTGCTTTGACTTTTGCTTTCTAATATGACATAGAAAACCCAAAGATATAATATAAAATGCAAAAGGACATATGCGATAACCAATATTCGTAGTTTTAATTTAAATTATCGCTTTCCAAAATGTCGCGTGCGTGAATTTAAAAAATAACTACTTAATATTTTAAAATCAAACAAAATCATTATTAAGATAATTCATTGCATAATTCATTAAAATTTATTGTACTACAATTTTTCATCACGTTTCGCTGAAATCAGAGCTTAAACTGGTTTCTTGCAAAGGTAACTTCTGTTTTGTCGCGTGCGAACGCAGTACATTTTAGTGAATATCTTGAAAACGAACTTGGATTTAAAATCGAACTTAGCACCAATTATAGTGCTAACCAAGAGCTATACGTTTCAATTTTTGTAAAATTAAAATAAAGTCTTGGCACATGTTTTTTTTTAGTTTGAATGCGTACGAATGTCGCATTCGACACCATATATAAATAAACAAATTACACAATTTGTGAAAATTTAAAGATGTTTATAGCATCTGGCGATTTGGAAAGTACTCCCCACAAAATGCGGCTATCTTGCACCTTCTGCATTTTACAGCAACATAAGAAAACCGAATCTGAATGAGTATTGCTTACCCACCGTTTCTTTCCAATCAGAACAATCACTATCGCTGACTCTTACTAAATCACACAAATGGCCTTTGTTTACAAACGACGCAGTGGGATTTTTCACCTGATCACTCGGTTAAGGCGGCGCTCCGAGAGGGCCTCTCAGCTGATTAGCACTTCAAGCGAGAGAGCCGTGAAGTGAGATGCCGGCACCAGCGCTCAATCACTTGACGTATTCTCCCATTTACCCTCCCAATCGCACCCTCTCCCTCGCTCACTTTGCGGGCCTGCTTTAGTCGTCGCGGTCGCCGTCGCCTTCGCTGTTAGTTAAACTTCACGCGTCGCTGCGATCGCAAGGAAAGTCGGTGCTCGCGATCGTTAGTTATATGTATAGTGGGCTGGTGGTTAGCAAAGATATTAAAATAAAAAAAACGTTATCTGTGTGGTATATAAACCCCAATTTGAAGGAAAACGGAACAAGCGCCACTCATTTGGCACAACTGAGGCAAGTGCAGTGCTTTCATTTATATTTGTATGCACGTATTTATGTAAATATATACAATGATCAGAGACCGCTGGGAATTAGCACCATAACCTCACGCCGAACAGAGCAACAATACTCACTGTGTGGAAGGGGAGGTAAGTGAGCGTTGCGTCAATTACAATGAAAATGGGTGGAATGGGTGAGGAGACGGCTTGAGTGTTTCCCTCTCTCTCTCTCTCTCTCTCTCTCTTTTTGCACGTGCTTTTCAACCATGAAAGACTGCAGCATCACAGTGCTGAGAGCGAAAGAGAGTCAGAGAACGGCTACGCAGTGTCAAAGTCAAACCTGTTGATAAGGTCAATGCACGTTCTCCGCCGCCCTTAGTGTAGCTTATTGCAAGCTGAACTCCCTATGGGTGATGTTATTTCCTGAACCAAATTCAGCTCGCTGGGACTTGGATGTCAATTGAGTAGCCCCTCATGTCGCCCACAAGACACGTAAAGAAATTCGGAAAAACTCAAAATACACTTTTAGCTTAGATGTGTCGACTGCTATAAATAATGGGTTATAATTGGAAAACCAATGAACACAAGCACCACCAGTAAGAACAAATTGATGAAACGACTACCCACAATAAATTTTCAACAAATCAGATTCTCAAAATAACAATGTATCACGTACCTTTTATCAATCCCGCGGAAAATTAATCTGACAAATGTGCATATATGGTACTTACATACATATGTACATACATACATACATTCTTATTCAGTCATATTCATAATACGATTTAGTATACTCTATATTATTTACTATACTTATTATATTTTTTCATAAGAGACGATTGCCCATTTCTGAGTTTATGAAGTTACTTTGGAGACCCAAATGTACTTTTTTTTTCTAAAAGCCGGTTTTATTTCGCGCTTAAAATTTAGAATTTAGAATTTACTATACAAATATAAATATGTAATGGACCGTAATTATTTAGATTAAAGAAAAATTAAAAAAAAAAAAAATATATATATATATATATATAATATGTATATATAATATTTTGAGTAAACAAATTCAAAGATTTTATCCAAAAAATTTATGCCAAAAAACGCAAATCGAATACAAATTTTACAATATATAAAAAATTCAAGGAATTAATCAAAAATTTATATATATATATATATATATATTCTAAAGTAAAAAGAGAAGCAATATTTGGGAACTCCAACTTGAATTCATTAATTGAGAATCGAGCGAAGAAACCTTACTGTAGATAAATACAACATTTGAAAATAAAAAATTTTTAATTGTTGCTTATTCAAATTGACCTATTGTTCCTGAAGCAGCTATTTGGTATTATCGTTCAACTATATTGAAGATTTATCAAACTAACATCATTATTCTGAAATATTAAATAATAACTATATCTCATGTTATGTATATGAAAATATTTTGGGAATTTACATTTCTAATTTTATTTTTTATGCTTTTATTTTCGCTTGTTCCAATGAACGCTCTGTTTTGATTTATATACAAATGAAAATATAAAGTTTTATTTTAAAAACCGGGAGACTACACTGCGTTGAAACCGAAAGACGTGTAAACGGATATGACTATAATGACTCGGCTGTTGATGCTCAGGTGAAAATGAGTCTTTCACCCAAAGTACCGCAAGGGTATAAAAATTAAAAGGAATGTTATTACATCACTTATTTTCGGCACAAAATTTTTTGTTTTTTTTTACCATGTTTTCAAGTTGCTGTTTCTTAAAACTAGGCAGAAGCTATTTGGTCATATTCTAAATAAAACGGAATTTTTCTGTGTGTACCTTTATATGTACATATCTATATGTGTGTCAGATAGAGGCTCAATGTGTCTGGACAAGTTAATCAAAGTAGATAAGAGATTTTAGTGCCGCGTTGGAAACTTCAAAAGTAAAGCTTATCGCACTTTGAGTGCTTGAAGGCCGCGGAATAATAAATGAGACCGATCGACCGACCGTACATAAAACAAACTGGAAGATAAAAATACAACAACATACGTAATAGCATAATCGCACAACACATATTGTTTACAGACTAATCATCGCTTATAATTGTTTAAGAGCCTGTTTTTACCCATACTGTCGCGTTCAGATAAAGAAAAAGAAAAATATTAATGCGAGAGGTTCTCAAAACATGTGTTACCCAAACACGGATGTAACATATGAAACAAGAAAGGAAGCTAATTTCGGCACGCCGTTGTTTATATACCCTTGCAGATAGAACTTTGATCACTAAGAATGAATACCATATAATTTAAAAAACAATAAAGAAATGTCTGCTTTCATTTGATTCGCCTATATATATGTATATTATATTCACATATTAAATTATCTAACGATCGTTTGTATGGCAGCTATATAATATATCCGATATATAATCAAAATTCTAGAATAATAAAAAACGTTGATGAAAATCTGTCTGTATTAATTTCTCATTCTTATAGTAGTCCGATTTTTATAAAAATGTACACAAAATTGTAGTATAATAAAAATGGCTATATCTTAAATTTGATGAAAACCTTTTAAAAGAAAAATGTTATAATTTTTAATTGTATTAATTCCTCAATCGTTCCTATGGCAGTTATATGATATAGTAGTCCTATTTTCATAAAATTTCACACAAAATTGTAGAATATAACAAACTGCCTACATCTTAAATTTGATAAAACTCTGTTTAAAACTGAAAAAGTTCTTATGGCAGCTGTTGGCAGCACCAACATTTGCTTTTATATCTCAACATTTTCGGTTCTGCTTAATTGAGCAGTTTTATTTTTTTCCGATTACGCTCTAGCTAACTGATATCTCAAAATGGGTCACTCTCTTGATCAGCATCAGCAGCCGAGTCGATCTAGCCATGTCCCTCTGTCCGTCTGTCCGTTTCTACGCAAACTAGTGTCTCAGTTTTGCAGCTATCTGAATGAAACTTTATAGTTAGTCTTCCATATATACTCTCACTCGTATATACAAATGTCGGAACGGGCCGGATCGGACAACTTTATCATATAGCTGCCATAGGAATGACCTATTTTTACAAAAAAAAAAATTATAAAAATTTCAGTTTTCAACAGAATTTGATCAAATTTGAGATGTATCCATTTTGTGTTATTTTACAATTTTGTTTAAAAGTTTATGAAAATCGGACTACTATATCATATAGGTGCAAAACAAACGATCATTAGATATAGAGGAAAAATGCAAAACTGAATGTTAAATTGTAAATATAATATGTATATGTGAATGAAATGAAAGCAGACATTACTTTATTGTTTTTATAAAGTTGATTTATTGTTTTTTTTTTTTTTTAAATATATATAATTTATATTTTATTGAGTCTTTTGAGTCTTTGAAATTCTGTCTGCAAGGGTATATAAACTTCGGCGTGCCAAAGATAGCTTCCTTTCTTGTTATTTACTGAGTAAGTTTTATTGTTAGTATTTAGTATTTATATTTATATTTATATATATATATTTATTTATTGTTAGATTGTTAGTGTTACTGTAGTGTAGTAACTTGTACAATGGAAATATGGGGAAACATACAGATCGAGTAAATATTTGCATTCTCTTATTTGTCAACCCTTTAGATATATTTTGAAAAGTAGGTGAGGACTTTAAAGCAAAACAATATGAACTCAAAACAAAAATGCCTTAACTCGAGTAAGTGAAGTGTGAAGAAATCTCATTCCGAGTCTATTTGTCTATTAATACTACTCCTTATTTAATTTCAGATAGTATGTAAGGTATGTATGTAGTAATGGTGATCGATGTTAATGCATGATGATTGATTTAATGTGACAGATTCCAGGATGGCTACACAATGTACACACTAAACAGCAATAACAGAAGGTGATAATTACCATACGCTACCTGAACGTAATAGCCAAAGCCCGAGAGTAAGGACCATGTCAAAATATCAAAAGCTCAGCAGCGCACTGCCACACAGTGGTCACGAAGACGATTGCGACGAGGGCTTTTCACTAAATCCGTACTTTGATGATAATAGGCTGGAGTCGGCCAATCCAGAAACTCAGTCAAAAGATTTTCAAAAATTCCGCTCCAGCAGCAATGGCCAGACCTTCCACAGCAACGGTAGCAGCAGCGGGAGCAGGGCGTTAATAGGGCAGGAAATACCGCTCACTGCGGAGGAGCAGACGTGGGAGGTCCCGCTACTGGACGACTGCCATGACAGTGCGAGCTACCGGGTGAGAAGTGCTTAATTTCTAGACCATTTATATACAGTGGTACTGTCAAATGCAAGCCCGTATTTATAAGAACCTTCTGTGGTTCCATACAGCTGTCGGAGTCCGAGAGAATGGAATTCGAAATCAAGCCGAAGTGCCGCAGCGGTCATCTGGGATTCGGCGCAAACCTAAAAAGCCAATCCGCACAGGAGGCCAAATTTAAAATTCTCCTCGCGATTTCTCTCTGCTGCATATTCATGGTAAGCTAGTCCTTCACCTATTTCACATCCGAAACACTCTATGGCATACCCAAGGTTTGCCTGCACGCATTCCTGATTTAATTATGATCAATTTAATGCCTACGACGAAACAAACGGTCGTCTTGATGTCAACCGCAGATCATTGAATTCCTTGGGGGATACGTGGCCGGAAGCTTGGCCATTATGGCGGATGCCGCCCATTTAGCATCTGATTGTATTAGTTTCGTCATTGGCCTAGTCGCCATTTGGGTGGGCGGTCGTGCGCCGGACGAACGTATGTCCTTTGGATATAAGCGCTTCGGTAAGTACCCAATTAAGTTTGACACCATGCTAATAGGAACACAGCCGACTGCCAGACAAGCAAACACACATGAGATAGCATTAATTATTCGCATTCCGTCCCAACATATTGCACTTGTCATGCATCAGTATCAGTGTACCCCAATCACTCATATCTTTTTACTTGGCCAGATTATAATACGGCTTCCCTGATTTTCTATTTCAGAGGTTTTCGGTGCCTTGGCGTCGATTCTAGGAATCTGGATCTTGACTACCTTTCTAGTGGTTGTGGCAGTTCAGCGAATTTACTCTCAAGACTTTGAACTGAACGTCGATATGATGATGGCCATATCGGGCATTGGTATTGCCATAAATATTGTGTAAGTTTAAATGGGCCATATTTGTATGAATTCAAATTGAACACACTTATAATAAAGATACCGATTTATTTTTGAAAATGTAGCGCTCATCCCTATAGTCATTTTATTTTCTTTGAAGTCAAAATAGAATTATAGAATTATAACCAATTGAAATGCCTCAGAGTACTTAATAATATATTAAACAAGAAAGGAAGCTAACTTCGGCACGCCGAAGTTTATATACCCTTGCAGATAGAACTTCTATGAATAGGAATCCATACAATACAAATTATATATATTTGTGTTAAAAAAACAATGAAGTAATACGTGCTTTCATTTCATTCACCTATACATATTATATTTGCAGTTTTACATTCACTGATTTGCATTTTTCCTCCACATCAAACGATCGTTTGTATGGCACGTATATAATATAGTCGTCCGATTTTTATGAAATTTGCCACAAATTTTAAGTCTTATATAAAATGGCTATTCCTCAAATTTGATGAAAATCAGCTGAAAACTGAAAAAGTTATAAATTTAATTGTATTAATTTCACGATCGTTCCTATGGGAGCTATATGATATAGTAGTCCGATTTTCATAAAATTCTATGCAAAATTAAAGAGTATTGCAAAATGGCTATATCTCAAATTTGATTCAATTCTATTGAAAACTGAAAAAGTTAAAAATTTTTTTGTAAAAATTTTCCGATTATTCCTATGGCAGCTATATGATAAAGTCCGATCCGGCCCGTTCCGACATATATACGAGTGAGAGTAATTAGAAGGCTAACTGCCAAGTTTCATTTAGATAGCTTCAAAACTGAGAGACTAGTTTGCGTATAAACGGACAGACGGACAGACGGACAGAAGGACAGACGGACATGGCTAGATCAACTCGGCTGTTGATCCTGATCAAGAATATATATACTTTATATAGTCGGAGGTGCCTCCTTCACTGCGTTGCAAACTTCTGACTGAAATTATAATACCCTGCAAGGGTATAAAAACTACGAAATTAGAATTGTGTTCTATTAATTTTTAAATTTTTTCTATAGTATGTAATAAATATGATCGTCCGACCGATCTGGTTGGCTCCACTATAGTCGATTGTTTAAATTATTTCAGAGACTATTTTTTATTTCATTGACAAAGCTTCCTGGTACAGGGTATATCAGTCGAGTGCACTTGACTGCTGCTTTCTTATTTATCTTTTCTATTATTGTTTACCTTAATTTTTACTTCTCCACAGAATGATCTTCGTATTACATGGATCCTGGTTTATGGGCGGAAAGGGACACGGTCATAGTCATGGTCACAGTCACGGACACTCCTATTCTGACCCAAGCTCACTAAAAACTGAATCTAGTGAGACGTCGCTGATGACTGTAGAAATGACTGATAAAGTTCCAAGTGAAAACTGTATTGTTATTCCAAATGAAAGAAGATTGTCTCAGAGTGACAGGTAGGAGGTTTGTACCAGATTACCGCTAGAAAAGATGGTCCAATTCACATTTTTATTTGAGCTAACCGATCTTTGAACAGTCGTAATACATTTATGCAAAAATCTGCAAATATTCCTGAAGCTTTAACTTCGTATTAAAGAAGAAATCTTGTTTGTCCTTTCTTCTTTAAACTCGACAAGAATAAGGTACAAGGGTATTATTTTGTAATAATATTTTAAGCCCTTACCATTAAGGCCTTTTTTTTGCCACTAAATAATGAATTTATCTTTTAATGCACCCACCCACAGTTAGGTCGAACTCGTCTGTAGCTTTCTTATCTATTTGTGTTAAATAAATGCATAAATACTTTTTTTATATTTTCCAGTGCGACAAGCTCCCGACTAGCTCACGATGAGAAGAACCTGAACTTGCGAGCGGCAATAATTCATGTAATTGGTGACCTTGTGCAGAGCATTGGCGTTTTTCTGGCGGCCGTCTTAATCAAGTTTTGTGTGAGTTTGTTTTTTTCTAGACTAGTGGCCCGTTCCCTGCCCGGCCTCTACCGTCACACACACAATATGTATCTGACAAAAGAAGAACATGTCCAGTCGCATTATGTTATAAATATTTTTAATATCAACTTTCAACTCTATAGATCGGACAATTTTTTTAATTTAACTGTTCGGTTGATTTTGGAAATATATAAGGGCCATTAAAGATTAAAAAATAATAATAGTACATAATAATAATACAAAATTCAAGAATTTTGCTGTTATGTTAAAATAACCATGTATTATTTTCTGTAAAAAGTCTTTGATCCTAATTCAAATAACAACAAAAATATTAAAATATTTCAGCCGAGTGCAAAATATGCTGATCCGATGTGTACACTCCTTTTTTCGGTCATTGTAATTTTAACGACGGTCCAGTTGTTCAGAGAGTCTGTGTCCATCCTCCTGGACGCCGTGCCGCCGAACCTCTGCTTACAGAGCTTGCAATGCGACCTGGGTAGTCTTGAGGGCGTTAGGTGAGTAGCAGCGCCAATGCCTTATATCCAACCTCTGACCATTGGTAATTTCTATCTTTACAGATCGGTGCATCATCTGAATGTATGGCAACACACCAGCGAACACAGGGTACTCATGGTGCATCTCGTCATAGGTAAGCTTGCAGTGTTTGCAAATCAGGAATTTTCTCACATTTAATTGGTTTTGTTTCAGACCCACATAGTGATGGCGAGGAAGTGGTGGATGCAGCCACAAGGCTTGTCTCTGGTTCAAAATACAAAGTAAAGCATTCAACAATTCAAGTGGAACGAACTATTACTTAGCCTCTGGGCCATCATATCAATTCAGTTTATGCCTCGAAATTCTGAGAAAACAATTGCATTTGAAAGAATCATGTGATTTTACCCACTCGTGGACTTACCTTATAGCGTGATTTTTTCTAGTTATATTTTTTATGATAATCATACCAAAGAGTAGAGAAAATGTTTCCAATAAAAGAATGTTAAATAAAAAATTACACTTTAAGAAAGTATCTGAGTTATATGTTCATTAAAGCCTGACCCAAAACCATGTCTACTACGTTAAAAAAATTTTGCTTCAGACTAAAGGCATTTGTATTGGCCAAGTTCAATGTTAATGCATGTACCGAAAGGTTCTTAAAAACATGAAGGGCACTCAAAAAATAAATAAATAAATAAATAAAAGGACAAAAAGATTGAGGATGTTACCATTTTATGATACTTTGCAATCTTTGATCAAGAAAATGGTTGGCGTTAAGCCGTATAATCCTCGTTCCCTTTGGCCACCCGGTATTAATGCAAAACACTCAATTATTTATGAATTGCTTTTACATATTATAGCTATAGATTAAACTTATTGTTAAAGCAGAAAACTTTCTTGATATTTGAGCCACTGCTTTTGTGAAAGAAGAGATCCTGCTAGGGCGTGGTGCAATTATTGAGCCAGGGATAAGAAGGCTAATGTTGCCAGAGAAACAACTAAAGCAGTTAAATTTTAAAGATGCAAATATTGAAAGTATTAAACAAAAACAGGTTAATTTATGGTCTGTTATACTAAATCAATTAAATACAAAAAATTATAAATATAATCATAACGATGAAATTCATATTTAAAAACTAAAAGTAATAACGGTCGCGAGTTGCGATATTTAGTAGTCTTTAAAAGATTATTTGTTATGTTGTTTTTCAGTTGTTTATTTTAGACTTGCAATTGTCGATTGATGTCAGGTAGTGTAGTTGGCTCAATTAAAGCGAAAGGAAGTTCGTGTTTGCTCCTATAATAAGTGGGATTGTGATTGATTAGTTGTCTTGTTCTAAAAAAAAAAAATGAAGCGCTTTGTATTGCTTAGTTGGTCATAAGCGTCGACAATTGTGACACAAAAGTGGTCATAGGCCGTTAATTGGAACGAAAGATAAAACTGATTAGAATATCATTTGCAACCTAAGGACTCAATAGTAAACTTCTTCCCAGTTCGTCTTCACTGAACCGAAAATGAGCAAATCAAGCATGCTCCCCAAACACCCATGCACACACTTCCTTAGGGCCTTAACAGACGAGTGAAGTCAAGTTAAAGCATCTTAATCAATACAGAGCAGGCGACCTAAGATTGGGACTGTTCTAGCACTTGTCAGATGCCCTGTCGCGCTAACTTGAGGTCCATTAATTCTCTAAAAATGGTAAATGTAAGTTTTGGCACGACGTTGCCGGCCATCAGGAGCACTCACGGTTCAGTACGCTATTTATAATTTATGTGAATAAACGATAACGCAATCGAATATCGAAGCTTACATTTAGCTGCAAAAAACTTGCGGTAGTGATGACGTGCCAGTGTGAAAAACAACAGACGAGAGGTACCCGCCAAAGTCATTGCAAATAATAATTAAAAACAAGAAAGGAAGCTATCTTCGGCACGCCGAAGTTAGAACTTCGATCACTAATACAATATAAATTATATATATTTATATTAAAAAAGTGAAGTAATGTCTGCTCTTTCAATTTCAATTCATTCACCTTTGGAATTTATATTCACAGTCTTACATTCAAAGAGTTGAATTTTTCTCCTATATATCCTATATATATATATATAATAATATATGCTTAATATGATAATCGGCACACCTATTTTTAATTTCAATATGTGTGGTGACATTCCAGGCAGATCAAGTGAGTTTAGAAATTTCGAAGGGTAATTAACTGTATCCTCTGCCTCCACAACGGGGTCTATCGACTTATATGTAATTTCGTCAGTTTCTATGCTGGACTGGATTACATGATTGAGCTGGTGTACATCTTTGTTCTTGGCAGCGAGAATCGCTCGTCCACTGAGGCAATCGTGATTCCTATAATTTATTCGGATATCGGGGAACACTTTTTGGATGAGTCCTTCCTTCGATGTAACTAAATTACAGAAATTCTCGGGCAATACTATTTTTCTCGACGTCTCATTGACTGGCAGCGTTCCGTTCCCCGTGTCCAGTAGCTGTCGTGAGAATACGTCGGCTGAGTCATCGTTCTGTAACTGGACACGAATATTCGTCTTCAACTGTAATGTACGTACATGTTGCCACAAGCATTTATCTCGTCAGCTGGAGTCGATCGGGAAATCACAGGCAACGATTGCCTGAAATCCCCTGCGAGCAATATTAACGCATTCCCAAATGGTTATACAGCTCCATGCAAATCCCGCAATGATCGATCGCGATTTTTTGTGTGCCATTGTGCATTCATCCCAAACAATGAGTTTACTTCTTTGCAATACTTTTCCCAGATGCTCTGGAAATGTTGCACGTAGGAGTCTCGATGATTTGCTTGTTCAACGGCAACTTCAGCTTTGAATGAGCAATCCTCCCACCAGGTAACAATGTCGCAGCGATTCCAGATGAAGCAAGAGCTAAAGCTATGTCCTTCATAGCTCGAACCGTAGCCAGAATCAATGCAATGAGGAATGTATTCCTCGTTCCTCCTGGAGCATCCAAGCTTCAGCTACCCTTGCCCTGTCGCGTTCATTATTTTGAGAGTGAATCAAATCGATTGCTGCAGAACGCGACTGCCTAACTCTCAATCACTTTCTCTCAAGCCTATCTGCTCGTCTTTCTGCTGATTCCGCGTTGTACATCTGCATTGCTCTCAGCCGCTCAGTCTCTCGGATGCAGGCCCGTTCTTCATCAGTCATATTCGTAATCTTACGTCTTTTTGCTTCTGTATTGCGAGTATGACGACCCAAATTCGACTTCTTGGGTGGCATGACTTCGTTTCTTACTGAACCTGAACAAAAAAATTAAATTTTAATTTCCAATTTCTTCTTTCAATATGTTTTGAATGTTTGACAGGAAATGCTTCGATTCAGCTGGCTGCCTGTAGTGGGTGCAGCAGTAGGGGCACTGGGAAACGCGAAAAAAAAACTGATATATTCGCAAACGCGGATAAGCTATCAACATCAAAAGTAGACAATAACCGAGCTGGAACCTCAAAGCATGTTGTATAAAAATTTGGGCTTAAACGGTTCAGAACTTTTCAAGTCTATGAAGGAAGTAGACACAAACAGAGCATTATATTTATATAGATAAATTTTATGAAAATCTTTTGAAAACCGAAAATTAATTTCTCGATCGCTCCTATGGCAGCTATATATTATAAAATAGTCAGATTTTCAACAAATTTTAAACAAAATTTTAAAAAATATATAAAATGGCTATATCTTAAATTTGATCAGATTCTGTTAAAAACTGAAAATGTTATAATTTTCTTGTACAAATTTTCTTCATTTAGGAAATATGACTGTAGGGAAACAAAAAAGTGTAATTTTAATATTACTCATTCTGAGCTTGTTTCCAGTCTCAGGACTCAAAACATTGGGATAATAATTTTCATTTGCAAAAGGCTGTTCAAATCTTTTTATTATATTTATTTTTAATGGAGTGTCTTCTTTAATTAAGACACGTATTTCAGCTATAATAAAACATAAATAAAAGCTTGGGCAATTTCGCGACATGCCCAAAAAGCGACAATTCTCCCCAACTAATCTGAAAAACAGAAGTATAAACTTTCAAGATACGAGTGGTAAGGCTCACTTTGAATCCCGAATTAAAGCTCGGCTCGGTTCTTATCCAAATCATATAAACATTCAATGAGCCAATACACTTCGATCCTATAGTGATATCTTTCTGAACCTTACTATGGGTGCTCATTGTCACAAAGTACTTTTATTATACCATTGCAGGGTGTAATAATTTCAGTTTTAACTTTGCAACGCCGTGAAGGAGTCACCTTCTATCATATAAAGTATAAATATTCTTGATCAACATCAACAGCCGAGTCGACTAGCAAACTAGTCTCTCAGTTTTGAAGCTATGTGAATGAAACTTTGCAGTCAGTTTTCTATATACTCTCACTCGTATATGTGTCGGAACGGGCCGGATCGAACGACCTGTCATATAGTTCGGTAGGAACGATCAAGAAACTCTTATAAAAAAATTTTAAAAATTACAGTTTTCAACAGATTTTTATACAAATTTTGAAATTAGACGTTTAATATTATTCTACAATTTTGTGAAAAATTTTATACAAATGTGACTACTATATCATATAGCTTCCAAAGGAATGATCGAGAAATTAATACAATTAAAAATTATAACTTTTTCAGGTCTCAACAGATTTTCACCAAACGTATGACATTTATTCTTATTATATTTTATATTATTCTAGAATTTTAATTGTAGTTTGCAAATTTAATTTTTAGTTTTTAACGCTCTAATCTTTGTGCTACCGAGCAACAATATCTCTCATACTAAATTTACGACAATATATTGGGTTTCAATCCAGTTCATCTGGAACAGAGGGTCGCAGGAAAAACAGTCTCTTAATGATTTCTTAGGATTTTGAAATGTTCTCAATAGACAAAAAACAACACTGAAGAAAATTCCTACGAATACAAATGGCTTTGCCCCTTTGTATTCGTCACTCAGGAGACGCTGCAAAGTAGATAGTTTTTTATTAGCTTTTTAATTTTATTTAATATCATTTTTAAAGAAATATGCTTATAAATGCAGTACAAGTCATTTGGCTGAATTTAAACATACAAGTACAAACTCCTTATATTTTCTTATGATCTACACAATGATAACTATCCCTAAGACGGCACAAAGGTGGTTGTAACTCATTTACATAACCTCTAAGTAAATAATTATTATATCTCTTGTGTCTTCCTCAGCAAAAATAGTTCCTTAGTTGAAAAAAGTTACAAGACAAAAGGAAATAAACTAACTAAAACGGGGAGAGTTTCCTGATCTGTTTGGCGAGTTTAGCCGTGGATATCCGTATATGTAGGCCTCTGTTAGGGAATCCGAATTATGACTAGGTGAATAGCTTCGCGAATGAGATTTGTCTGTAAAAGTTATAGGAAAAAAGGTTGTGTTTGTGTTCGTATCAAATGTAAGCTTGGAAAAATACACTTACCAAATTTTTCCTCGTGATGCGGTAATCTTTGACAATGCGGCATAGATTTGTTTTTGTGAAATACTGTGGAAGAGTAGAAAATTATAGTAAATTTTGAGTTTGTAACGTATATACAAAACTAGTATTTTCTGTGTAAAATGTATAAAGCCACCCGCTACCTGAGACAGCCACAAAAGAAGTCAAAATATAAGAAAAATTCACTGAAAAAAGATGAAAACCTATGCTGATTGAACAGCGACAAATATAGCTGATGAAAAAACACTATTAAAATTCATATGTACTTTACATATAAAGTGTGGAAAGATCAGAATAAACAATTAAATAAAAACCAAAAATAAAAAAAATTAATTCAAAAAAGTTAATTGTTTACCACCTCTTAGAAACTTTCTATTTTGGGTGTCAGTCATAGAAATAACAATGCAAGGTCAAACAAATCTTTAAGTGCGGCAAATCCTGCCTCCAATGCTAATGATAATAGCTTTTTCTTTCTTTGGGTACTATAGCTTTGGCGCTGCTCAAAAGTTTTTGGTTTTCATGCACGAAATGTCTAAAAACTTTAAACTAATACAGAAGGGTAGCGAAGTTTGCTCGTGGCTTGATCACCCTTCTATCAGTTTCCGATTCTCTGCCTAGCCACGACGTTTGTGTGTGACCGGAAAATTATTAATTAAACTTACCCTCGGAGTTGACTTGGGTGACGCCCTGCGTTTGGAAGCATGACATGTACACTGCAATAGATATAGAGGGAAAAATGGTAGTTAAATTTGTAAAAAAGTGAAAAAGTGCAATTAATGAAGACGCAGCTGCTATTATATCTCAATATCATGACTCATTAAACACCACGTTTTGACAAACGTATATTGTAGCGCCAACCATTTCGTTGGATTCTTAATGGGGTCAAAGTGCTTTCAAATTGATAACACACTATCACCAACCAAACCCCGAGGCAAGGCACGCATACATTGAGAAGAGGATAGGAAATACTACATTATACATTATACAACCAAAACAACTTAAAAGGTAAACGTTTTATAAAAATAGGTAAAAAAAACTTTTTAAGTTAAACGGTTTTATGTTAAACATACATTGCAATGTTTAAGATAAATGTACTAAAATCCAAAAAATAATAAAATAGATTCAGTCGTGGGAATTATAAACATATGCATAGACTAGACTAAAATAAAACCGTGGGGCACGTCAAATGTCTACAAATTATCGACTTAATGTGCGATAGAAGAATCGTTTAATTCGTCGTTAGGCAGTTGTCCCGCAGACAGTGAGGAAATTACTTACTATTTTATTGCTCATGGAAATTCCAATAGTTATACACTCCATGTAAATATAGGAGATGTTTTAACTAGTTTAGTACATTTATCTTAAAAATTGCAATGTATGTTTAACATAAGACCGTTTAACTTAAAAAGACTTTTACCTATTTTAATTTTCTAGTTTTTAGTTTTTATTTCGCATTCTGTTTAATTCATTTAGTGCTTCATTATTGCAAGGTTTCTTGCCCGTTAGTTTATTGCAGTCCAACTCCTCTATACGTAGTCCCTGCAAAGATCTTACTCTACTAAGAGCCTGAGTCTTGAGGGGAAAACGCTAACGACATATCATTTTTATCCACCCTAATGCCATTCAGTTCTCGGCGCGTTTTAACCTTTCACCTTAACTTGGGTGGTGTACCGCTAACGACGTATCGTATTTAGCCACTCTAACGCCACACAGTCCTCAACACGATACAAAATCTTGACTTGGGTGGTGGATTCAGGCTCGATTAACCAGATACCTAAATTACAGATTCAATTTCTAAATTTAAATCTTATTATTATACGCCATTTAGTGGATGCGCCAATCTTAAATATTGAGGTTGTATAGTGCACTGTATTCTTCTTGTCAAGCCCTTTTATTTGATACCCATATTGGTGGGATTGATAAACAATTAATATCAGCCATTTGGTAGCGGCGGCCATCTTAGATTTCAATTTTGCATAGTACATTGTATTCTACTCGTTGAGACCTTTCATTTGATACCCATGTTGATGGGATTGATAAAACCTAAGTTTCTTGCACGAAAGAGTCCTGAACCCGCCAGCGACAACTCTGACTGCCTTCTTCACCTTATGCCAGGAAGATGATTTTGCCAGAACCTTGATGTATTCAGAAGTGCCCTCTTAACCATAATATGCCACAGAGAAACGTGGCAGGGTACAAGGCCAAACCTTCGAATTAGTAGGGATCGATCTGCGAAAGAATTGTTTTACTCATGGTCAACTGTAAGTTGGTCTATCGCGAGTCGGAGCACCTGAAAATCAGTTTATTTTGCTGCCACAAAATAAAACATCAAATATTGTTTACAGAGAAGCTCTAACAAAATAAATGTATTTTCTTTTAGGGTTATGACCTCAATAATTGAAAAAAAAACAAAAAATTAAAAAAAAATATCAAAAAAAAGAAAAAAACCAAAAATATACAAAAAAAAACACATAAATACAAAAAAAACATTAAATAATATCTGAATTTAATTATTCTTATTTTTTTTTTTTTACTCTTTTTTAGGAGCTCGACGCAAAAAGGGATGAATATGTGTCAATTATTATTATTATTATGAATAAGTTAAAATTGACAAATCTAAATGTAATGTTTAATGCCCGTGCGAAGCCGGGACGGGCCGCTAGTTCAATATAAATCTAAAACATTATTTTGTTATCCTTACGATGTTAGCTAACTGACGCAACTTCACTGTTTAAACATTAAAAACGATTTTGTCGATTTTTTTGATGTTTTGCGGTGTTACCTCCTCATTTGGATGTCCACTGCGTTCTGCATCTTCAGTGTCTCTACGACCATGTTTAAAGTCAGCAAACCAACGTTTTATTGCTTTTTCTGATAGGGCAGAGTCCCCTTAACACTTTTCAAGCCAAGGCTTTCCTTGAATGGTATGTTTTCCCATCAAGAATCAGTGTTATATCAAAACACAAATTTGTTGTTGATCCATTTTTTTGGAAATAAAAAAAGTAGCGTCACTCATAACACAATAACTCACAAACTAAGGAATAGAATATCATGGAATTTTAAGAGCTGTCTTATGAAAGATCGTATTACCTAAAAAAAATTAAACTGCAATAAAAAAATCGCGATTTATATGTTTGGCCCGGGACTTTTCAGCCGATGTGTTAATTGTAAGCTAAACATTTCTAAGAAAAAATTGTATGATCTTAATAATTTATGTAATCAAAATAATATACCTCCCAGATACCACAATGAATATAAGTTTAGGACATTCTTCGAAAGTATTAGATTATTTAAACGAAACAGATGAAAACGATGATATTTTGGTTTAATTTTTCATAAAAATATTACAAATATTTTGTATATAATGTATATATAATGTAGTTAATTAATAAAATTTCTAAAAAAATTTCTTAATAAAATTCTTATTTCGCATAATAAATCAAATTTTATTATCGCATGTCGCAAGGGTATGAAAACAAAATTATCGTACGTAAATATATTTTTATTTTTTCATGAAAGGTTGCCTTTAATGATAAAAATTAGGTTTACATACGTTATTGTAGCTAAAACCACGAAACCTTGAAAAATATTTCCATGATATTCTCATTCCTAAGAGATTAAATCAAAAAAAGCTTGTCCTCTAAAATTGGGTTCTTCAACATACGATACATTAGCGGAAATGAGTCGATATACTCACCTTACGAGCAAATGCGGCTCCTACTAGAGGTTATACAAACATCCAAGCGCATTGTTTTCAGAAAACTATTTGCTGGTAAATAAAAAATATTGCCTGGCATGCTTTACAATCATGGATTTCTGCAACTCGGAGAGTACTGGGGTTTTGCCAAAGGATGTCAATTTCGCAATGCAAATTTGTTTCCCTGGGTGGCCCACAATTTGGGACAGCAAATCCGAGAAAAAATACAGATCTAATTGTTTTTGAGGTTGCAAAATCAACCTGTGTTAATAGCTCTTTTTAAAAAACTTCAAAATAACCGATCGACGCTGCACTGTCTTATATACAACAAGAAAGCAAGCTAATATAGCTTGCCGAATATATATATATATAATATAGCTAATAGCCGAAGTTCATATATCCTTGCAGATAGAACTTCTATGACTAGGAATCCATACAATATAAATTATATATATTTATATTAAAAAAAAAAAACGAAGTAATACCTGGTTTCAGTTTATTCACCTATACATATTATATTTGCAGCTTTACATTCACTGATTTGCATTTTTCTTCTACATCAAACGATCGTTTGTATGGCACCTATATGATATAGTTGTTCGATTTTCATGAAATTTAAGACTAATATAAAATGATGAAAATCTGTTGAAAACTGAATAAGTTATAATTTTTAATTGAATTAATTTCTCGATCGTTCCTATGGGAGCTATATGATATAGCAGTCCGATTTTCATAAAACTTTACACAAAATTGTAGAGTATAATAAAATGGCTATATCTCAAATTTAATCAAATTCTGTTGAAAACTGAAAATGTTATAATTTTTTTTGTAAAAATTTTCTGATCATTCCTATGCAAGCTATATGATATAGTCGTCCGATCTGGCCCGTTCCGACATATATACAAGTGAGAGTACATAGAAGGCTAACTACAAAGTTTCATTCAGATAGCTTCAAAACTGAGAGACTAGTTTGCGTAGAAACGGACAGAAGGACAGACGGACAGACGGACATGGCTAGATCGACTCGTCTGTTGATCCTGATCAAGGATATATATACTTTATATGGTCGGAGATGCCTCCTTCACTGCGTTGCAAACTTCTGACTGGAATTATAATACCCTGCAAAGGTATAAAAAGTATGCCAGTTGCTTCGGTGAACTAGCCCCGCAGCTCCACATAAAAGAGAACATCTCAACACCACAAGAGAAGGGCTTAAGACCAAAAAATTCAAACTAATCTGAAAATAGAAAAGCTTGTTCAGAATAAAGGCGTGCTTGACAAACCTTAAGACCCCATCCGCAAAGCAACGACTTCGACCAAATACTGTTAAATACCAAATTGCATAACTACCATGCATTTGAATTGGCACACGCACAAACTTTGCTGGTTCTGCAACAGATTTATAGAATTATATTGAGTGAGAATATGTATACCCGGGTACAGTTGTCGGCTGCCGGCTGGTTCTAGAGCGCTTATGGGGCCCATCCACAGTCGAACATGTTGGCCGAGCATGTTGAGCTCGACGAAATTTTCATCGTTAGTGCTAGTGCTCGCGTACAAATTTCGTGTTCATCGAGCCGCTCGAACAAAATAGAAATCATTCTATCTTGCTTGTGTTCGCAACAACATGCTCGACAATGGATGGCAACGTTGGCACGAACATCATTTGAAGCAAACGTTTGAAGCGACAACACCTAATAGAGCAGCTCTAAGATGTCAAAAAAAATTATTTATTTTAATTGAAAACTTTATTTTCCAGCCAAAGGCGCAAACATTAATTGCCAAAAGTGCAATTAAAGTGCAAAAAAAGTGGCGCTGTCGTTGTCCGTTGCCATGTTTGCTTCTCAAAGATTTTCCAGCAAATGATGTTTGCGAGCATGTTGCCACTAGTTGGTGGCAAATCAAATTTTTGCTCGACGAGCGGCTCGGCCAACATGTTCTACTGTGGATGGGCCCCATTACTGCGGCTTCTGACTAAAGCCATCGGTCCAGATTTAGGTGCAGTAAAGTGCAAAATTTATATAGCTTAACTCGTTTTATTGTTATAACCGTTTTTGTTTGAAGCATTTGAAACGTCAACCCCCGTTGGAGGTCCGATAATAATTTTCAAGATTGTCATTACTTTAATGACGTTAACGTTAAATAAAGTAATAATAAAGGCTACCCCAGGTAAATTTGCCCGTTGATGCTCATCACAACAGCTGGTAGTCACCGAAGTGAAATCACTATGGCTATATGATTTAGAGCCCCATTCTGTTGCTTAATATTATCACATATTGATGTTTGGTGATTCCACTGCAACATCTACATTATTAGGTGACGTAAATTGTACGAACAGCTGATTCGGGTTTGTTTACATTTGAATGAGGGCGGCTTCCACAATAGCGACGTCATTGACGACTTTCTATAGAGACGCTTGGACGATGGTGGCCCAAACGTTCTCAAAAAACTATGCGAATTTTTTAAGGACGCATTAATATACAAGCTTGGAATTTCAGAGCCTCATCTTAAGCAAAAAAAAAATTTTTTTTAATATAGCCTGTGGTCAAAACTTACCCCAGATTGATATGATAACAATCACCGTTGTTGTAAGGATAAAGCCCAAGTTCTCTAATATCCTATACATCAAAGGTCCGCCATACGAACGTCCAGCACATTTTTGAGCCAACATTGTGCTGCCAACAATGGTCACCTGTAAATACAGATAGGAAAATTATTAGTAATTAGTGAATGGTTTGATTTATGAAACAACATATGCATATAAAAAAAGCATGTCATCAGGGAGAACGAAAAATATAACGAAACGAAAAAATAAACTGAACCGGTATTTTATATTTTCTAGATCTTTAGCTTTTTTAAAATTTTTGTTTTACTATTTTACTTTACCAATACATTTAGATCAAAGTCAAGAAATGAAAGGTTTTGACGCTACCTAGAATAATAATAATATCACCTAGTTAAAACCATTCAATCCGTTTTACACAAACCTACATATATCTTTGTTTTTCTATTTAGACATATTAAGATCGGCCAGTATTTCAAATCAGCAAAGACCAAAAATGTTGTTTATGTTTCTATACCTGCAGGGTATTAAAATTGTAGTGAGAAGTAATGGAGTCATCTTCGACCCTAAGTATTTATATGTATTCTGGATCAGCATCAACAGATCTAGCCATGTCCGTCTATTATTCTGAATGAAACTTTGCAGTAAGTCCTCTATTCTCTCACTCGTATATAAGAAATGGAATCGGAAACGGATCGGATCGGACGACTATATCATCGGAAATTTTGTAGAAAAAAATTAAAACGTTTAGTTTTTTACAGATTATTATTGAATTTGAGCTATGACCATTTTGTATTATTTCAGAAGTTCAATTTTAAATTTATTGAAATCGGAACTCTATATCACGTAGATGCCATAGCAATTATCGTTAAATGTAAAGGGAAATGTAAAACGGTATTTAGCTTCGACGTTCCGAAGTTTGTTTCCTTTCCAAGGTTTTTTAATTCTTTTTTTTCTGATTTCTAATCAATCGATAATTTTCATTCAGTTAAGCCAGCCGAGTTCCACAAAAAAGTAAAGAACATGTAGCCATTAACAATATGTAAACGTTTTATTTTGTTGTGATTTTTTTGCTTTGTTAGACTTAATATATTTTTGTTTTATTTTAATATATGTTTATTTTTTTTACGCAATATAAATAATTTAAATGACTTAAGTCAACTAGATTTGCTACTCAAATAGCTCCAGTGGTATTAAAATCACCTATAACTACTTTTCCAAAAGTCTATTGGATACCGACTGGATGGCGGAAAGGTTTTTCCAACAATGTACCGTGATTGCTCCAATATCAAATCAACAGCAGCACCCCCTTGCCTCACTGGACTACTTTGTAAACACAATAACCTGGGACGCAAATATCAGAATGCAATTTAATAAGCTTCATGCATTCAGATAGAAATAACTTGTTTTTTTAGAGCGGAAAAACTAGAAGTCGTAGAAGGCAATATGGTATGAATTTACCTAGAAGCACTTATTGCTAAAATATGGCTATTTGCCTTTTCCTGTTGCAAAGACGAAAAGTTAGCAATTCTTTTTAAGAATTGTTTATAATAGGGACACAAAAAAAAATTGATTGCGATTTAATAAGGTAACTACGTCCTCAAAGATCAGTAAAAGAAATTACTCCGTCGTTGGTGAGAGCGCAGTAAGTATCAAGTGTATACCCTTATTTAAAAAAAAAAAATCACTTTTTTTAACACTTACCTCAATGCTCTGCTCCGTTTCTGGTGATGTGACCACTACATAAAAGTGTTGATCGAATGGAAAATCTTCAAAAAATCGTATACGATATTTGCTGATACCATGTCCATGCTCGATAAAGTCAACAGCAAAATATGTGGAGTCGGATGGTTTGACCTGTATTAATATAACAAATTGTTATCGTAATTGTTTATGCATGAGTAAATTAAATGTTGACATTTTTATAATAAATGTATTAAATGTAAAAAAATGAAATCCTAGAGTTTAAAAACAATAATAGATATTTAAATAGAATGCTAACTGGATTAATTAGTACTTAAGTTAAATTATATATATTAAGAGTATAATGAACTTGGCATAAATCTATTGACGTTAAAGAGTATTCTAATATTCTAATATTAGAACAACTGGCAAAGGAAGTCTGGGCTGTACAGGAGATTATGCTTGCCGCCCCTAAATCAGATCCCCAAGTCAATCATCCCCTCTGACTCAACTCCACACTAAAGATTTTGAGACTTTGAAACCGCAGGACCATGGCTGTGTACAAACCACAAAAATGTGACCGAAGGGCAAGCTTAGCCGAAAAGGCAAATTACACAGCATATTTTAAATGGCCACAATAATTAGAGTTTCAAAGATACAGCTAATACTTTACTGAAAGCAAGTAATGCAAAGCTAAAACATTGAATTTGCACAAAAGCTAATGTGGACCAAGTCATGTGAAAGTGATGCTGGTGTGCAGCATCCTTACATTGTCTTGGTGGTTCTAATACCACCAATCTAAGAATTTCAGTCAGAAGTTTGCAACGCAGTGAAGGCGTGACCTACGACCATATAAAGTATATATATTCTTGATCAGCATAAACAGCCGAGTCGATCTAGCCATGTCTGTCTGCCCGTCTGTCAGTTTCTACGCAACCTAGTCTCTCAGTTTTGAAGCTATCTAAATAAAATTTTGTAGTTAGTCTTCTATATACTATATACTATATATGTCGGAACAGACTATATACATAGCTGCCATAAGACTGATCGAAAACCTTGTACAAAAAAATTAACTTACCATGCTTTGTTTTTTTATTTTCTTTTCATAAAATATGGCAATGTTCATCACAAATAAAGACTCCATCAACCTACCTGAACCCTGTGCAGCGCCTTGTCCAGACCACTGATGTGCAATTCCTGTGGCTTCAAGTCGGTTACTCGCAACGATTCGGGTGTCACTTTAATACCTGGTACTAATTTTAAAGACATCGTGTCCGTAATTCCACTTGGCATTGCCGCCTGTTCGTCAAAGAGGGAAACAATGAGTGAGTATAGTGCTTGCTAAACAAAAACGGAAAAAGACCCACCTCCATCTCTAGGTAGACTTCGTTGGTTTTTACAATTGCCAACAACTCTGTGAATGTGGAAAGTAGTTCCAGTTTACATATATATTGACCAGCGACAACATCAAATGCGGCGTTCACTTTATAAAGCTTCAGTAATTGGCGTCCGAGAACTTCTTTTGCAATGAGGCGACAACTGAAAACATTGACGGGCACCTTTTCCAGTTGGTTTGCGCATTTGGAGGTATTCTGGGCGAACTGTTGATCGGAAAAGCAGACTTATAAGGTGGACAGCCGAATTTCAAATCAGACTTACCAGGTTGCTGTACTTGTCGGACTGCACATGATTACGGAGGACCAGCTGTCCCCGGTACTCTGGTCCGCTAAATATGTCCAAGGACTTGGTAAACAGGATCTATAAACGAATTTGGGTAAAGTGCTGAACTAGAGGTAGGTAGAAGCAGAGACTCACCGCATCAGATTCTCGAATTTCCATTTCATATTTTACGAATCCACCCTGATTGGACTCTTCTCCGCTGGTGATGATAACTTTCTCGCCTATCTTGTGTCGATGGTTTAGCACGCGGGCAATACCTGAAACCGAGATACAAAATAAAATAAGTGAGGAGTTTGCGTCTTTCTCTTGTGGTTGAAGCGAGTTCAATTCTGAAGCTATCAGCAACATATATTATTACAGCCTTCTTAATTGTAACCAAAAAATGTTTAAGTTGAATGAGCAAATATATTTTTGTGAACAGCAGACTCAGTTGCCTCCGAATAAAGGATTGTGTAGCTTCTAATTCTGTAAGAAGACATCCGATTTTTTCGCATGTGATTTTCCTATCGCCTAAATATCGAAATATCTAATAGTTAGATATGTAAAGCAAAGTGCACAATCACCGACTTATTTTTAACTGGAATGGAAGTTAACTTCGGCACGCCGAAGTTTATTTACCCTTGCAAATATAACTTCGATCACTGGGAATTAATACTATATAAATTATTTATATATTTATGTTAAAAAAATTCAGCTTTGACATTGACATTCATAGATTTGCATTTTCCCCTATATCTAACGATCGTTTGTAATGGCAGCTATATGATATAGTAGTCCGATTTTTATAAAATTTTCAGCCAATAAGTAGTATACTATAAAACGACTAAATTTTGATGAAAATCTATTAAAAACTGGAAATGTTACAAATTTTGTTCTAAGATTTTTCCGATCGTTCCTATGGAAGCTATATGATATAGTCAACCTATCCGGCCCGCTCCGACTTATATACGAGTAAGAGTATATAAAAGACTAACTGCAAAGTTTCTGCGAAATAGCTTCAAAAGAGAGGAACATGTTTGCATAGAAACAGACAGACGAATATGGCTAGATCGATTCGGCTGTTGATGCTGATCAAGAATATATATATTTTATATGGTCGGAGATGACTCCTTCACTGCGTTGCAAACTTCTGACTGAAATTATAGGACCCTACAAGGGTATATAAACCTGGCTATATCGACTTTTCTGAAAATAAATACGCCTTTTACTTGAGTGCTGCTCAAAAAATGTTAACCGGGAGAAAACATACAAGGTACTTACCTAAATGTTTATCAATTGTCACAATTTGCTCATGAGAACTGCTCCAAATCGATGACAACGCCAGAGGTGAATCGAAGCAAATTATGTCACCCACTGAGAACATAGTCTATTGGTAGGTAAAGGTGAAGGAAACGCGATCACATTCATCGAGTTATTGTGTAGTAAGAAATACAAGAAAATAAATATTTAAGATTGCAATTTTGAAAGCATAGCCAGCCCTACTAACCTTGGTTGGGTATATTTGCTCTGAATCGACCACAGCCAGCTTGATATAGTCCTCTGCATACTTTACTCCCGTCGGGTCCCTCAGACGAATAGCAATGACATTGTTTGTTTCTCGCTGCAGGTTGAGCTATATGGGAGGGTTTGGAAAACATTAGTTTCTTAGCAACATATACACCATAATACGTTTCTCTGTCTTTACTTATGATTTCACTTCCCTCTTCCGAAAGCTTCTTTGAGAGTCAGTTCATAATTACCAATAAAAACAAGATCGAAATGCTTCTTTTGGCAAAGAAAACTTCATGCCTGCATTTTGATTACATTTATGCAAAGCCTTATTATTTTACATAGTGTTTTAATTCATAACAAAGTCTGATCACGTGCTAATAATTTGCAGTAATAGGCGGTAGTGGCCACGGCAACCAGATTTTAGTCTCAGAGACATACCCAAATCTAGTTACCTAGTAAAACGGAAGTTTCTTCGTTCTTAGTTGGCCCCGAGTTTTAAAAAGAGGCATTATAATAACAAGATCTGTAAAACCCATACATTTGAATATATGTATATTCATATATAACTAATTTGCGCCTCACTCGCTAGCATAAAGTTAAAAGCGTAAAAATCTAAAAATATTTAAGGCTTACATCGGCAAGTAAACAAATATCAAGCAAGTGCTTATAGATCTAGAATGACTAAAAATACGTCTGGAGATATAAAGTTGTCGATCGCATCTGAATGTGTTCAAAAGTATCTGCTCTAAGGCACAGAAGACAAGCGTGGAGCAAACATAAAATCTTATGGCGGTAATCATTTTGTTATTTTAAGGACATGCATGTACTTTATTAATACCTGTTATATATGTAAAGACTGAAGCAAATGGTGAAATGAAAAGAAATTTAACACTTACAGCAATTGTTAAGTTATTGCCAATCTGAGCATCGACCACGTCCTTGGTAGCAAATTCGTAGCGCACATCATTACCATTATCTTCGACGTTGTAGGAGAACTCGTTGCCTAAATTGTCGTGAAGCGATACCTTAAACATGAAATTCATGCCCCGTGGAATATAGTGCACGGCTTTTTTGAACTTAATATGAGGCATAAGTGTCACCAAAATATATTGAATATTTTTGACTTCGATGCCGATGGGCAGCGTTTGATCCACCGTTTTGGCCTAGAAGAAATGGAATTAAATAAAATATTAAATTCCTTTTTAATCCTTTTTAACCCGTATGTACTCACAATTATCAGATCCCGACCAAGGGTGTCCTTTGTTTGCACAATACCATCTCTCGTTACGCTGACAATGCCACTATTCTGTCCATCCAGCGTAAAGACTGCGTCCTCCATATTTGTTTTCAGCTGAAGTGTGCTCTTCGGCGCTGCCAAAATGGAATCCATTTTTATTGGTTTTGGAGCGAGCAGATCCAATGTTTTGAAAACTGTAGTTCACAAATTTTATTTACAGTCGTTGTGATGTTAAGAGTTTTTAGCCAGATTGAGGACTTTTTAGTTACCAATAAGCTCCACGCTAGCTGTTGGCAGCTTGGTCCCGTCCGCCAAACTCATGGTCACCGTGATTGTGACCTTGCCGGGATTTAATGCGCGTACTCGAACAGAAATTAAATCCTCACTTTGATACTCGATGCCTGGAGTCGAAATGGTTTAAATAATACATTTTAAATTTAGTCTGATTTATAAAACAACAACAACAATGAAGGCAAAATAAAAGTACCAGCCGAATAAACAAATTAACAAATTATGTCAAATCTTGCCATCAATGAGCAATGCATATTGGAGCCAACATAAATGTAGATTTTGCTGAAGTTAAATATAAGCATATATGTACTCAATTTTCTTTTAAATTGCAGAACGAATACTCTTGTAGTCCGCGATTGGATTATTGGATCAAATAAATAGTTTCAAGTCCAGTGAAAAAGAGCATGGAAGATAAGCATTTGTGTTAGAACACAGAACTTTTGCCGATTTTTATACCCTTGCAGGGTATTATAATTTCAGTCAGAAGTTTGCAACGCAGTGAAGAAGGCCTCCGACCATATAAAGTACATATATCCTTGATCAGGATCAACAACCGAGTCGATCTAGCCATGTCAGTTAGTAAGCTATCTGAATGAAACTTTGTAGTTAGTCTTCTATATACTCTCACTCGTATATATGTCGGAACAGGCCGGATCAGACGACTATATCATAAAGCTGCCAAAAAATTTTTACAAAGAAAATTATAACATTTTCAGTTTTCAACAGAATTCAATCAAATTTAAGATATAGCCATTTCAAAATTCTGTGTAAAATGTTATGAAAATCGGACTAATATATCATATAGCTCCTATAGAAACGATTGAGAAATTAATTCAATTAAAAATTATTACTTTTCCAGTTTTCAACAGATTTTCATCAAATTTGCGATATATAGCCATTTATATTAGGCTTAAATTTTATGTCGAATTTTATGAAAATCGGACGACTATATCATATAGGTGCCATACAAACGATCTTTAGATGTGGAGGAAAAATGCAAATCTGTGAATGTAAAACCCAAAATATAATATGTAAAGGTGAATAAAATGAAAGCAGGTATTACTTCATTATTTTTTTACATAAATATATATAATTTATATTGTATGGATACCTAGTTATCGAAGTTCTATCTGCAAGGGTTTATAAACTTTGACGTGCCGAAGTTAGCTTCCTTTCTTGTTCTAGGCTTGATTCACTAAATCGACAAAAAATAATTTATTTCGACACGCCCAAGTTTGTATACCCTTGCATATTGCAATTGGATACTTAATAATTAATACTATATAAATTATATATATTTATATTATTAAACAAAGTAAGTAATACATTGGCCTATTCGTATTATATTTAAAATTTTTCAATAAAAGTTTAAGATTTACTGTTTTACATTTTCCACTAAATTTAACAACCATTTCTATGACAACTATATATATAATATAAAATTTTTTTTTAAATGAATGCCCAAATTTTGAAGTATTAAAAAGGGACCCGAGTAGATGAAAATATTTTATAAAACATGGAAGTTAGCTCGATCGTTCCTAGGCAAATATATGATATAGTGTCCGAATTTCATGTAATTAAAGCCGAAATTCTAGATTAATACATGTCTGTATCTATGAAAATATCTTTAAAACTAAAAATGTTATCACTTTCATCTTAAAAATTTTCGATTATTTCTATGTCATTCGTCCGATCCGGTCCGTTCGGACTTATATAGTAGTGAGTGTATGTAGAAGACTAATTGCAAAGTTTCATTCAGATAGCTGACATACTAGTTTGCATAGAAAAGGACAGACGGAGTGATAGACGCACAAGGCCAGATTGATTCGACTGTTGATACAGATTAGGAATAAATATACTGTATGAGATAGAAAATTTGTCCTTCACTGCGCTGAAAACTTCCAAATAAAATAAAATAAATTATAATTCTTTGCAAGGGTATAAAAACCATTAAACCGCGTTTAACTTGAACATTTTAACTTTAAATTTGAACATAAATAATAATAATTATTATTAAATTAAAAAGATTTTCCGCTTACTTTAATATAAGAGAAAATAAATCATAAAATGTGGTCGGATTCTTTATTATATGCTGATGGTACTGAGTAGACGATCGATTTAATAACTTTGTATGTTCCGTATCTGTTCCTGCTTTAAAACTTAGCCAAGCAGGCTCATCGAAGAACATTTCGCGATTAATATCCGGGCACTTGGTGGACACAGAGAAATGTTCTAAACTCTCTTACGTCGTATCTGTGCACGTTGAGATAACTACTATAAATACATAAAAGTTAGCTCACCTGCTGCAGTGAAGACGTTGAATATCTCTACTATTTCTGGATTGCTTACACTCCAGAAAATCTTTGTATTCTTTAACGTTCCCAGCACCATAGGAGAAAGATCAGGCAGGCCCCAGAGTGTGGCGGGCATTACAGCGGCGCTGCGAATACGGACCAGCGGAGTGCGTATCTGGACTAATTTCAGAGCAACCACGCGTAGTTCAACCGTGTCCTGGGAGATCACTTCTTCTATTCCGGTTACTGGGTTTCTTAGCATACACTTTCCGACAATTCGGCTGGATCCTAACCGGTGGGCAGTCACAATAGCTGAGTTAATGGCTGCAAACAAGATTCAATTAAGATATACCCTTTGGATTAGCAATAAATTAAATCCGGACTAACTTGCAACTTGTTCTTTCTCCACGCTGTAGACCATGTTGGTATTGGGCTGCGGCCCGCCCTGGTAGAAGATTTGAATGCTGCTGCCCACAACGAGTGTTGAGTCGCGGGGAAAGATTCGGATCGGCGCAAAAACTTGAACGTTAAGCGGCTCGCTAGACACCTGTAGAGCACCTTTACCAGACTGAAAGACAACTTTGGTCTCTCCAACGCTGTTGCCAACCAAAGTATAGCGGATCTCACCGGGTCCTAGGTTTTCTTGATCGCCCAACCGCACGCTCAGTACACTCTGGTCGAAGACCACTTCAGATAGATCGTAATCACCAAGTCTGTTGTGGTCGATGAGCAGGAGATTATCGTTGGTGTCTATTAGTCGAACGATCCCTTCAATGCGAGCTGTGCGCTCAAGTCGGTCCATGCTGGTGACTTGGATAGCCCCTAAGCCCACTACTGAAATTGAAAGGTGACTGGGTTCAGTTGTCAAACAGCTGTCGATTAATTCTAGGTGGACGTGCCCAAGACGTAAAGGCGTCAGGGCCAATACGCGAGCCTTTTCATCAAATTCCACCTGCACAATTCCCGATTCAGATAGTTTCAGTTGCAAGTAACCGCTGCCCTGGACAATGGATATGCGTTCGATGTGGCCTGGAGCCAGATATATACTGACGTGGTCCTTCGGCAGTAAAGTGCTGTTCACAGTATGGAACCTCACTTCATTCTCGATTAGAGGAGTGCTCATCGATCCTGTTTTGGACTGTAATGAATGGATTAGAAAGGATTGTCGTAATGTTTCATATAATACAACGCACGTTATGCACTCCGAACGCGGGATGCTCCGCATAGATATCTTGCTGTCTAAGTAGCTTATCGTTGTAATTGGCGACAGTGCCTTTGATGCGGAAGTTAGGCGCCACTTCGCTGAGCGTCAGGATGAGAACGTCACGGCTGGGCAGGCTTACACCGTGATGGACTTCCAACTCTGCGATTTGGCGGTGGGACATTTTATGGTCAGGGTAAAGCTCTTCTCCTGCGCCGAACTCCCAGTCTAGCCAAAGAGAGCTGATGTTCATAAGTCTCCGATTTGACGAGTCCTCTACCTCTATCTCGATTTCAAACTTGTTTTCACGGTCCTTCAAATACAGCAGCGCGGAGCTTTGCTCCAAGGGACAAGATTCACGGAGCTTTTGTCGAGCGTAAAGCTTCAGAAATCGAGGTGGAACGCAATGAACCTTTATAGTCAATTCCGATCGGTAGGCGACAAAGCTGGACTTGGCTAGGATGTTATGCACACGGTAAGAAAAATCGGTTTCTCCAAGCTCGCGGCATAGTACGGTAAAAGCACTGATCGCGTTTTGAGTGTTAAACTGAATTTCAGAAACCTTGACAACCTTACTATCGAAATCCGTGGCCTTCGAGAGCTCTGCCTCCAATGTAAAAATTCGCTGTGGTCCGTTTACAAACATAACATTACGGGATGACCCCACTGGTAGCACAACCTCGTTCTCGTGGGGATTCAGTATACTCATTGGCTCAAATACGTAAAGGTCGACAGTGTCGTCAAGAACTTTGTCTTGAAAACTGTACCAAACTCGCAACGATGAACTGCCAACGGCGGTAGCTCGCAACTTCAACACATGACATGCGTCTTGGACGGGCTCTACCAGCTCCCCGTTAGTCTCTTGCTGCAGAATGTGATGGGTGAAGTCCAGCTGAAAGTTAAGGTTGTCGCAGCTCGTGTATGGCACGTCGGAGTTGTTCATCCGCGCATAAACTGCTACGTGCAAGTAAATAAAATCCCTAAGAGAGGTCTCAAAATTATAACGCTTTATCTGGAGGCGTTTGGGGGACAGGAAGAAAACTTTTGCCAGGCGAGAAATCTTTTGGTTTTTAGCCAGGGCCACTTTGACTGTTGTATGGGCAGCCATGGTATTACCATCCTCGAGTAACTCATGCGCTACGAAGGGAGGGCGAACGTCACGGATTTCCGTAGTGGCCAAGCCTTGACCATCTACACGCAGCATCTGCGGGTGGCCGGAGAACCATACGTAATTGCTGTCGCCTCCAGTAGCGTGGAACTGTAGGCTCATCGACTTTATGCTATTCGGATCGTAAGGCAGCACTGCCTTAGACGGCGTCAGCTGAAGTTCCTTAAAGATCTGAAGTTCGGCTTGCACAGATAGCTGTAAATAAAAGAATTAAGAAGTTTTTTTAATTACATTTGTATATGTAATATTAATAATATAACGTTCTTCATTCGGATGTTATATAAAAACAAGAAAGGAAGCTAACTTCGACCAGCTAAAGTTATATACCCTTGCAGATTGAAATCGATCAATGGGAAACTAGTACGTTATAAATTATATATATTTATGTTTAAAAACGAAGTAATGCCTGCTTTCATTTCATACCTTTACATACAGACTATGTTTACAGTTTGACAATTACAGTTTCGCATTTTCCTCTATAGCTAACGATTTTTATACCCTTGCTGGGTATTATAATTTCAGTCAGAAGTTTGCAACGCAGTGAAGGAGGCACCTCCGACTATAGAAAGTATATAGTCCGTCCGACTATAGAAAGTAAATGTCCGTCTGTCCGTTTCTACGCAAACAAGTCTCTCAGTTTTAAAGCTATCTGATTGAAACTTTGTAGTTAGTATTATATATACTCTCACTCGTATATATGTCGGAACGGGCCGGATCGGACGACTATATAGCTGCCATAGGAATGATCGGAAAATTAAAAAAAAAAAATTTCAACATTTTCAGTTTTCAACATAATTTAATCAAATTTGAAATATAGCCATTTCATATTATTCTACAATTTTATGAAAATCTGACTATTATATTATAAAGCTCCCATAGGAACGATCGAGAAATTAATTCAATTAAAAATTATAACATTTTCAGTTTTCAAAAGATTTTCATCAAATTTAAGATATAGCCATTTCATATATATTATTCTACAATTTTGTGTAACATTTTATGAAAATCGGACAACTATGTGTATCAAATAGCTCCCATAGGAACGATCGAGAAATTAATGGAATTAAAAATTATAAAGTTTTCAGTTTTCAGCAGATTTTCATCAAATTGGAGATATAGCCATTTTTATCAGTTCTGCAAGGGTATAAAAAACACATCTAAATAAAAATGGAAACCTTTTACGGATTTTAGAAGTTTGAACATACAAAATCTAACCAAGAAAATTTTAGTCGCTCGACATGCGACGAAAACCATCTGCGCTGTTCCATTCAGATAGCTAACAAACAGAGATTAATTCGCATTGAATGGATGGATGGACTTGGCTAGATTGTCTTGATCACTGATGCTTTTGAAAACAAAATATAAGGGATCAGAGTTTCCATTAAGTCTTCTGGTTAGAGTTTGCCTGCAACGGTATAACTGACAATTGCACCATAACTCGACGAATTTCTAATATTTTGTTCTTTACTTCGTTCCTCTTATTTTGAACACATCAATAATAAAAAATGTTCAATGTTTTAATAATCTTACAAATACACGTGTTCCTAGAACGTATTTCTATATTATATCACTTGTTATTTACATTATCGCATTGTCAATGAAAATACTTCATTACTTTCCTTGCAGATCAGATATTAGTTTCTATGATAATTTTTGAACTGGATTGCAAACTTATGACTAAAGTTAAAATACACGGCAAGGTTATAAACATAGTATCACACTTACGTCCATATATGAACCATAGACCTGGGTGACACCCTCCTTCTTGGCCACTCCGGAGAGGTGGCTACCGTTGCGCGTCCGCTGTGTGATTGAGAACAAGGAATTATCTAGTTCTGAACTAATAGAGTAGCGAGTGCCCAGCGTTATCTTCTGTCCGTCAGCAGCAAACAAGTCCAAAGCCACGTCGTGATACTCCCCTTGCACAGTGACCCAGTTAAGGTGGGGAAGTAGACTGATACCCAATCTGTGTGGCTCAGCCACAGTCAGCAGAGCACTGGGAGGTTTGGTAGCTTGGTCCGTATTTGCCATATTGCGATCGCGCAAGAATACTTGGGTGCGACCCATCGTTGATCCCGTGGCACTGTTGCCGTCCAAGTACGCCACATTAGTATTCTCGACCTCCAAGTAGTACTGCTTACTGTCAATTGCATGCAATCGGTCCATTTTCAGTTGCAAGATGCGGAACGTGACTGAATCACCTGCCATGATGGTCACCTCGGAGGGCTCTATAATAATGTTAGCCAGTACGCTGATCTGGACCTCGATGGGTTGCACGTGACTGTACTCGGACTGGGGCATGACGATGGTCACCTTAGCGGTACCCGTATTAATGCCCTCCAACAGGACCATATACCCCTTGGTGCCTTTAGCCTCAAAGTTTTTTAAGGCGGGTGGGACTGTGTGGTAAGGGCTGTTCGTGAAGGATAAATAGCGCATTGCGGCAGGCTTATTAGTTCCAGATTCCGATATTTTCCAGTCAAACTCAATGCCTTCCAAAGTGAAAAACTCATTGCCCTGATCGTCAAAGGCGTGAACCTCGAACATGGCGGGCGCCTCCTCCAGGTACAACTGCCGGGTAGCTGTACGCACGTTGAGTCTGGAAATTGCGTCCACAATCACTTCCGAACGCAGAGTCTCTCCCGTCTGCACCTCTTCGGCAAAGATAATTGCAGTGTTCCGGCGCCGGTCGTGGGTCCGGACTGTTATCACTGCCTGAGATGCACACTCGCTGAAGCCTAGGTAAACCGGCATCACAGAAATCAGGTCCTGCCGCGAAGATGTCCTGTGATGTAATTTTAATACAGCGAACCAGCAAATTGATGGCTTTATTTACTTACCACTTGTAGCAGTTTGATTCGTCGACTTCCAGGGTGAAGTTAATAGCCTTATCTTCAAAACAGGCAGCAAGACCCGGGGGTGGTTAATCCTCGCTGCATTTTCACCTCTGTTAGTCGCGAAATATAATAAAACCAAACATATAACTTTAGCACCCATTTCGATGGAAAACGAAACACGCTGCTAGTGACGAAAACAATATCGATAGGTAAAAACCGGCTAGAGGTGGAGGTTGGTCGATATCACCATCGATAGCTTTGAATTTCTTAGCTGTAAACAGATGGAGCTAATTCCCTCGAATAATTCTTTGTTTAGACTGAGCACAACAACTTGAGCTCTTAACATGTACTATAGAGAAATAGGTAGTTGTGCTGAACGAGTATAATCACTTATCATGATGCAAGAATTTATTCATCATGATCAGAATAAAAGGAGCGTAATAAATTTACGCTGCCTTTCAGCGATACTGATGGATTATAAAGATGGTTATTATATAAATAACAATAGGAAAAAGGGAAAATAAATATAAATTATTACTCAAGAAATCAATGGCTGCGTTCAGCAGAAAAACATGATTAATGATGGATCAGTATTCAGTGATCAAGTTGTTCTGCTGTAAGCTTATGATACATTACGCCGTCTTAAAAATAAAATCGAACAATCGAATCCTTTACTGAACAGTTATAATCAGGTGTAATAATAAAATCAATTAATTTTTGGTAAAATTTCGAACGATAACAATAGTTTCCAAACCGATTATTTTTGAGACAGCGTAATGTATCAAGAGCGTTTGGTAGAATAACTTGCTGTTCTGCTTTAAATATTATATTTACAGTCTTACTTTTAAAGTATTGCATTTTTCTTTATATCTAATGATCGTTTGTTTGGCAGCTATATGATATAGACGTGCGATTTTTATAAAATTTTGGAATGGCTATATCTCTAATTTGATGAAAATCTGTAGAAAACTGAAAAAGTTATAATTTTTAATTTTATTAATTTTTCGATCGTTCCTTTAGCAGCTATATATAGTCCGATTTTTATAAAATTTTTAACAAAATTGTAGAATAATATAAAATGGCTATATATTAAATTTGATGAAAATCTGCTGAAAATTGATAAATTGGCTAAATGACAGCTGCACTTGGTATAGTGTAACTTTTTTGTAAATGTTCTTAAATAAATAAAACATAAACTAGCAATTTACTCAAAAACTTTGAAATAATATACATATAAATAAAAAAAGGCACAATCTATTTAAATAATAATGTTGTATAAGTGGTTCTATGTCGGCTCATTAGAGAGAGTATTGTAACTTTTTATATGTTTCTCGCTTTCAGTGTGAATAGATGTATTTTAGACAGTTGAAGCGATTTTAAGCGGCTTTTACTGGATTTTTAAGACAGTATCGGCTAGCGCTTATTAATCACTATCAAGAGCGAAAATTAAATTTATTTACCCCTAGCTAAGAAATAATATGGCATTCTATTATTGCTATGAATGCCACTTAAATTGTCAATTAAAAATATAAATATCTTTTATGCATCTTGAAAAACTAAGGCGTGGGAACTGGCACAGACGCTGCACTGGTGGCCATTAGCGCATTCTTGGTAGTAGAAGACTCTTAGGGCGCTGGTGCTCGGCCGTTTTTCTTTGCAGGCACTCCTTATTCCTAACCTACAGATGTGCGTTTGTAACGTTTAGCTTAATCCTCAATTGTAAATTTTAGATGACTCATGGGATCATGGGAGTCTTGCTTTGAGAAAAAAACTTTAAACTTCTGTCTCCACTGCTGCTCATGGTCGCATTGGTGAGCTAAGTGGAGGACATCAAAAGGAGCAATGATGTCAACAAGGATGAGTCTGCCATTGTCACCTGCGCAATGACAATGAGTTTCCGTCTGTGAAATCTGTTAATTGCCGACTTATTGACGACAGCCACAGTTTTTCAGTTGGACATATCATTCACGATCCGCATTTACTGCATAGAGATTCCCGTGTTGGATCCAGCATTTATTTAATTAAAATTTGTTTTCTCTCCAATGTAAACCAAAATAAACCAGAAAGATAGCTGACTTCGGCACGCCGAAGTTTATATACCCATCTTCGATGACTAAGAATCCATACAATACAAGTTAAATATGAATGTTTATGTTAAAAAAAAAATGAAGTCATACTTGCCTTTCATTTCATTCACATATACATATTATATTTACAGTTTTACATTCACAGATTTGCATTTTTCCTATATATCTAACGATCGTTCCTATGGGAGCTATATGATATAGTAGTCCGATTTTCATAAAATTGTACATAAAATTGTAAAGTAATATGAAATGGCTATACAACTTTGGCTATCTCAACTTTGATCCAATTCTGTTGAAAAGTGAAAAATTATAATGATTAATTGTATCTATTTCTCGATCGTTTCTATGGGAGCTATGTATATGATATAATCGTTTGATTTTCATAAAATTTGAAACAAAGACTAATATTAAATGTCTATACCTCAAATTTGATCAAATTTTGTTGAAAACTGAAAATGTTATAATTTTTAATTGTATTCATTTCTCGACCGTTCCTATGGGAGCTATATGATATGGTAGTACGATTTTCATAAAATTTTGCATTTTTTCGTTTCATTCAGATAGCTTAAAAATTGAGAGACTAGTTTGCGTAGAAACGGACAGACGGACATGGCTAGATCGACTCGGCTGTTGATCCTGATCGGAGGTGCCTCCCTTAGTGCGTTGCAAACTTCTGACTGAAATTATAATATTCTGAAAGGGTATAAAAACCACCGTTTCCATTAAAAAAGAATGCTAAATTAGAGGTAGAAAAACATTGATCATCGAACACATTTCCATATATCGATAGTATCTTTAATGGCCACTAAATAATTAAAAGCTTAAAGCTTTTCTCTTATAAAGTGTAGATTGATCTTATCTGGTTTGTCGAGAAACCTGAGCAACCAACAGAATAAAGAACTTCAGTTTAGTTAGCATACACCGTACTCAGTCACAATTACTTGAACATGAAAAACTCCGGGTAAGTCCAAGGCCAAAGTCCTATTCCATAATGCTTTAATCAACCACATCCTCTTTAGAAAGCTAAAGGGAAAGACTCTCTTTATCACTGGCGCATCTCGGGGAATCGGCAAAGCTATTGCCCTGAAGGCTGCAGCAGATGGAGCCAACATAGTCATCGCAGCCAAAACTTTTGAGCCTCATCCAAAGCTTCCTGGCACAATTTATACCGCCGCGAAGGAAAGTATGTGCGATCAACCCGCCAAGCGAGTGGAGTTTGACCTTTGTACACTTTATATTATGTTCAGTTGAATGTGCTGGAGGTCAGGCGCTGCCTTGCATTGTGGACGTGCGTGACGAACGGCAGGTGCAACAGGCTGTTGAAGCTGCTGTGGCCAAGTTCGGAGGCATTGACATTGTGGTTAACAATGCTAGTGCCATCTCAATCACAGGCACACTCGAAACTGATATGAAGCGTTACGATCTGATGCAGAACATTAACGCCAGGGGAACTTTTCTTGTGTGAGTGCTGAAACTGCCGTGTTATCTTTCAATCTGTCTCACCGCATGGGATCAAACTTTACAGATCAAAGACTTGCCTGCCATATCTGCTTCGTAGCCAAAACCCACACATATTGAACCTTGCACCACCAATGAACATGAGTGCTCGGTGGTTCGCCAATCACACAGCCTACACAATTGCTAAGTACGGAATGTCTATGTGTGTTCTGGGAATGGCAGAGGAGTTCCGTGGCCAGGGCGTAGCTGTAAACGCTCTCTGGCCACGCACTACTATTCACACGGCGGCCGTGGAAATGCTTAGTGGGTCCGAAGGAGCACTATACTCGCGAAAGCCCGAGATAATGGCCGATGCAGCATACACAATTTTATGTCGCGACTCCAGAGGCTACACAGGCAACTTTTTTGTGGACGATGAGGTTCTACTAGACGCTGGCGTTAAGGACCTGACCAAGTATGCCTGTTATCCAGAGAACATACATCTGCTGGCTACAGATGTGTTTCTAGACAGTAAAGGTCCTGTAGCCAAGTTGTAAAGTTAATCGTCCATTGATGTTTATAATATATTTGTCGTGTAAATAACATAATAACAACAATAAAGCATGTACATAATTATTAAGTGCATATTAGTTGTTTTCGATTATTAAGCTTCAACCTGATTTTAGATCTCCCCGTTGACAGTACCGAATAAAGCCAAAAACCGAAAAGTGCTTTGAAATAATTCCAAACTGTTTCTATATTTATACCCTTGCATGGTATTATAATTACATTCATAAGTTTGCAACGGTATTAAGGAGTCACCTCCGGCCATATAAATTATATAAATTCTTGATCTGCATCAACAGCCGAGTGGATTTAGCCATGTCCGTCTGTCTGTTTTGAAGCTACCTGAATGAAACAAAGTTTCAAAAGTCAGTCTTCTATATACTATAACTAACTCCTACCTACTATACCTATAACCTAACTTCGGCACGCCGAAGTTTATATACCCTTGCAGATAGAACTTCGATTTTTATTTTTTTTTGTTCAGGTTCAGTAATAACGAAGTCATGCCACCCAAGAAGTCGAGTTTGTGTCGTCGTACTCGCAATACAGAAGCAAACAGATGTAAGATTACGAATATGACTGACGAAGAACGGGCCTGCATCCGAGAGACTGAGCGGCTGAAAGAAATGCAGATGCACATCGAGGAATCAGCAGAAAGACTAGCAGATAGGCTTGAGAGAAAACGATTGAGAGTTAAGCAGTCGCGTTCTGCAGCAATCGATTTGATTCACTCTCAAAATAATGAACGCGACAGGGCAAGGGTAGCTGAAGTGCGTTTACAGCTTGCAGCAGATCAAAACCTGCAATACAATCGTCTTGCATTCAGATATAATCCAACTGTTGATTACAGCTCGAATCGCAATGTCGTTATTGGCCGGATGCATCAGGTCTGCATATACTGTCAGGCTCCTTCGATTGAATCAGACGAAATTTCGGTCCGAGGAATATATCCATTTGCGGGATGCTGTGATGAATGACCGTAATACAACCAACGTTGGTAAGCTCACGATTTTGCCATCCTCATACATAGGTAGTCCACGCCACATGCATGAATATGGTCAAAATGCCATGGCATATGTTCGTTGCTACGGCCATCCAGACTTATTTATCACCTTCACATGCAATCCAGCTTGGGACGAGATAGTACAGCTGTTATTTCCTGGACAATCGTATAGGGATAGGCATGACATCACAGCCCGTGTTTTCAGACAAAAGTTCAAGTCACTGATGGATTTCATTGTGAAACATGGAGTTTTTGGATCTGTGCGGTGCTGGATGTATTCAGTAGAATGGCAGAAGAGAGGATTGCCGCATGCGCACATACTGATTTGGCTGTATGATAAAATTACTCCAGACGAAATCGTCGATGTTATATGCGCTGAGATTCCACGGGCCGAGGTTTATACGGATTTGCCATCAACCCATGTTCACCATGAATGGTAGACGGTAGAAGCGATATCCTCGAGCATTTACAGCCAACACCGCAACAGGGCACTATGGTCCAGCGGACCACTTTTTTTGGCCAAAATTAATAACTCTGGTAATTTAAAAGATATTGACTTGAAACTTTACCAATCGTAATTTAATACTTATAGGATGATACTGAACAAAAATTGTCCGGATCAGACAACTATATCCTATAGCTGTCATAGGAACGATAAAAAAATTTTTTGAGATAAATTCATAAAACTTCGGTTACATAAAAATAATGTAATTTTAACTAAATTCACAAAATTTTATCAAAATCGGTTAACGAATTACCATAGTTGTCATTAAAAGAATCATACAAAAAATAATTAATTAATTTATACAAAATTTGGTGTTCTTTTAAGGCAAATTCCAAGAAATGTGGTCAAAAGTGGCATTTCTCACTATATACAAATGAATGGACTAGGTGGGACTCACTTTGTATAGCTTTTTAAAAACAAGTTTTTAATGAAAAGTTACATAATTTTGAAGACAAAATTTAACATCAAATAACAAAAATACCAGATTAGCTTCGAACATTTTCCATTACAAAACAAGTAGTTCAAACGTTACTTATTCAATTTAAAAAAAAAAAATTGGTTCAGTTCGGTTTGTTTTTTCCGAGTTTTCGTAATTTTAAAATTGCCATTTTTTACTCATTTTCACTCTACCCGTTGGCCTGCGAACAAACAGCTGACTTTAAAGGCGTCGTCCGCTAGAGTGGCGCCACCTATGAACATTTTGGGTATGCCACGTTGATGGTCACTCTATTTCTAATCCATGGAGACCAAAATCATTTTATTTGGACCACTTTCAAAAAATGGGTTTTGGCCAAGAAAAGTGGTCCGCTGGACCATAGTGCAGGGGACGATGGATATCCTCTGTATAGGAGACGGTTAACTGAAGATGGAGGGACTTCGGCAACTTTAAACATGAGAATTGGTGACATTGAGGTAGACAATCGTTGGGTGGTTCCATACTCACCACTATTGTCAAAATCATACAAAGCGCACATCAACGTAGAATATTGCAATTCCGTGAAATCGATTAAATATAACTGCAAGTACGTGAATAAAGGCAGCGATATGGCAGTTTTTGGTGTTCAGGCAGAAAATGGTGACAGCAATGCAGTACGAGTTGTCGATGAAATCTCTCAATAACAGGCTGGAAGATACATAAGCAGCAACGAGGCTGCATGGCGAATTTTTTCGTTTCCAATTCATGAACGCTATCCAGTTGTAGTTCACTTGGCAGTCAATTTGGAGAATGGTCAACGTGTCTATTTCACAGAACTAAATGTGCAAGAAAGAGTCCTGAATCCGCCTACGACAACTCTGACTGCCTTCTTCACCTTATGCCAGGAAGATGCTTTTGCCATAATCTTGATGTATTCAGAAGTGCCCTCTTAACCACAATATGCCACAGAGAAACGTGGCAGGGTACAGCTAGTTATATATATTTATGTTAAAAAACAATGAAGTAATACCTGTTTTCATTTCATTCACCTATACATATTATATTTACAGTTTTACATTCACAGATTTGCATTTTTCCTCTACATCTAACGATCGTTTGTATTTGACACAAAATTTAAGAAATGGCTTTATCATAAATTTGATGAAAATCTGTTGAAAACTGAAAAAAGCTATACTTTTTAATTGTATTAATATCTAGATCGTTCCTATGGGAGCTATAAAATGTAGTCGTCCGATTTTCATAAAATTAAAATCGAAATTCTGGACCAATACAAAATGGGTATCTTTAATTATATGACAATTAGTTGAAAACTGAAAAAATAAAGTTTTTAATTGTATTACTTTGTCAATAGTTCGAATATAGTAGTATAGTAGTATGGTATAGTAGTCCGATTTCAATAAAATTTAAAACATAATTTTACAATTATATAAAACGGCTATTTGAAGAAAATCTTTTAAAATCTGGACATTCCGCGTTAGAATTGTCTTTCAATCTTTTTTCGGTTGAAAATCTGACGTGCATTATGACCACAATAACCATGATCTGTACACAATGGCGCATAAACGATCTTTGTAAGCAGTAGAGCGATGGATTAAGGATTTCAGAGGTGATTCAAGATTATTTGGCTTGTCAAATTTCTGCAAATTCACGTCATCTTGGGAGGAATTCATCAGCAAAATTTTAAAAATCTCAATTGGATTAATAAACGAGTAATACCAGCAGCAATAAATTAGAACGTCGATAGATTGAAATCAATTATTCAATTATTATTGTGCAATGGTACGCAGTCGTCTGTCAAGATACTAATGAACAATGTAATTCAAGCAACGATCATCAAGTTAAATTCAAAGGAGAGGAAGCCCTTATCCCACGAATTTCAATAATTCTAAATGATCCTCCATTTCTATTTAAGCGAATTCAGTTTCCAGTTCGGCTGGCTTTTCCGATGACAATCAATAAATCGCAAGGCCAATAGTTGCAGGTCTGTGGGATAAGCCTTGAATATCCCTTTTTTCGCATGGTCAGTTGTACGTAGAACGTTCTCGTGTTCGTTGTTTACTGTTGCTTTTGGAAAATAAATTAAATAATTTAGTTTATAATATCTTTCTCAACTGACGAATATGAAATAAATTACATAGACATTTAAATTATATGCGTCTATATTATCTCTGGGGCTATATAAAACATCAACAATTAGAGGCAAGACAAGTTCGCCGGGCCAACATGTACACTCCTGTTCATAATGTTCATAATAGGAGAATGGAAACACACAGTAGATCAAAATAAAGTATGACGAATAATAGCACAAGGAGTTGTGCACAAAATGCGCTATTCATATATTTGCTTGCATCACTCGTTTTCAAGTAACGGTAAAAAGAGCACACACGCCTTGATTTAGGCTACACGGAAATTGTTTCAAAATGATACGACACATTTCATTATTTTTGTTTACAGCTAATATTTTATTGGTTTAATTGTTTATAACTAAATATTAATAGTTTATAACGGCGCCTTGTGCTTTTCCTACTTCAAAAATTCTTTTAGGCATTGAATTTTTAAGGTTTTTTAAGATATTTTGATCCAAGAGAGACCATTGTCTTAAAATTTCATTTTTGAGACTTTTAACAGTCTGAAATTTGTTGTTGTTGGCGTAATCTCGCCTGGCTAAGATACCCAAGATGTTTTCAATCGGGTTAAGGTTAGGAGAGCAAGCCGACCAATCCAAAACATTTATTTTATTGTCATCGAGGAACCATTGCGTCTCTTTGCATTCGCATTATCCTGCATAAAGACATAATTTTGGTCCTTATTCTGATCCGAAAATTACAGAGGACGATCTTGTAACACATTTTTGTAGTCTGGACTTTTAATTTCTGAGCCTGTAAAGCACAGTTCAAGCGTACCAACAGCATGAAAGGTTCCCCAAGCCATACCTGATCCGCCTCCAAAATTGCATGTTAGGAACATAAGGGGATCCTTACCCAAATCAAGCCAATTAGGACGAAACCCATCTGGGCCATCAAGATTACATTTTTTCTTATCAGAAAAAATTATCTAAAATGTGAAATATTGACAAAAACCTTTATAACCAAAGTTGAGTTAAAATTCCATATTGAGGTCCAGTTTGTTTCCTA